CCAATAGACCCTATTCACTAGACCGCGAAGCTAAAACCTTTACCATCTGATCCTTGCAGCAACTATTCTCAACCTGTGGGCTGCGACCCCTTGGGGAGGCAACCAACCCTTTCACAGGGGTCGCCCAATTCATAACAGTAGCAAAATTACAGTTATGAAGTAGCAACGAAAATAACTTCATGGTTGGGGGAGGCAACCAACCCTTTCACAGGGGTCGCCCGATTCATAACAGTAGCAAAATTACAGTTATGAAGTAGCAACGAAAATAACTTCATGGTTGGGGGGGGTCACCCCAACTTGAGCAACTGTATTAAAGGGTCTCATCATTAGGAAGGTCGAGAGCCACTGCTTTACAGGAATAATGCCATGACCCCCTGCTGTGTAGCCCGGCAGTGTGAAAAGTAAAGTTTTGGCTATAAAAACCCATGGCACTTTGTCTAAATTATGCATCTCTACTAACAAACACAACAGAAGCCAGCTCTGTGGTCTAAGATAGTCTAATGATTGGGAACAAGGGTTTTGGAGTCAGGCATGCAGAGTTCAAACCCTAGCTTCTCTGTATCTTCCACTAACTGACAAATGTCTCTGACCATCTGGTGGAGCAGTGGTTACAGTTGCACTGCGATACAAAAGGTCAGCCGTTCGAAACCACCCACCGGTACTCCAAGAGAGAAAAACGGGCTTGCTACGTGCACCGGGCAGTTCTACCCTGTCCCATAGGGTCACTATGAGCCGGCAGCCACTCGATAGGAATGAGTTTGGCGTTTTGAGTTCTATTTATTGATATACAGACTTATTTCTTCTTGCTATGTTAGGAGCCTTTAAATTCGCGGACCATGCTTGATTCTCCTAGCTAGGCGTCTGCTGCATGATGTGTCGTCCTACACACCGTTACCCAACTCATTAACAAAACGGACGGCCGCCCTCAAGCCAGGAGAGCCCATGCGCAGTAGCGAGACCATCTAACCAACCAGGAGTCAGCATTTCAGCTGATGGTTCTGGAAATAAGTCCCGGAGACGACTCGTCCGTAAGACAGCACCCAATAGCCCAAGGTGCTCCGTGCCTCAGGGCCATCAATAAGCATCCGAAGGGTCAATCCAGGAAGATTCGACCTTTCTTCAGATGCTGGAGTTTTCTCGAAGGTGACTGGAAGAAGCTGGAGGCTCGGTGAATCACGCACCACTCTTTCGCCAGCTCAAGAGCAACAATGCTTGGATCTTTGGATGTGACGTTCACTTAAAATGCAATGAGATCATTCTTTGC